CCCTACAAGGATTTCAATCTTCCTTTTTGAAACATGAGGGTGGGAGAGGTTTCTGGTTGTTTGGTTTTGTGTTGTTTTTTTTTAATTTTGGATTAGTAGTAATACAGGTATTTGAAAGAGCAACAAACCTGACTGTTAATTTTGATTTTAAAATCAGCCATGCTTTTAAATCATTGTAATTCTTTCATGGATTTACATAGACCCTGACAAGCCTAACTATAAGACTCTGGATGTGCATGCAGAACTTGGCTGAGAGTGATGAAAAGGAGCTGTCGTGCACAGTTGTAAACATCCTTCTGGGATCTTCTGAGATCTTCTGGGATCATCTGCCATGTTCAAAGAGGTGTAACTGGGCCTGGGATAGTGATGGGAAAGCTAAACTGTTTCTTTCCTTTCTCTGTCCTGCAGATGGAAAAATGAACAAAGTTAAATGGATTTTGACATGGCCATTGATATTTATGCTCTTTTGCACCATTCCAAACTGCAGCAAACCACGCTGGGAGAGGTGGTTTATGCTGACATTCATCTTATCCACTCTCTGGATTGCCTTGTTCTCCTACTTCATGGTGTGGATGGTAAGTGCATCTAGCAGGACTTCCTAGACTGAGTGAAACGTGCATCTCAAAATAGATCATAGATCACTTGTGTATTTGTTAAAGAAAAACATGTAATTGTAGTGCAGTCTCTTCAGCTCATACACTAATTATTATAATTCTATCTTTCTATTGCTCTTTTCTGCACAAATTAAGTGGGCCTTTACTGTAAAGGGCCCAATACAGTACGGGAAGGTGCTAGCTTGATTTTCAAAAGAAAGTGGACATCCACATCCTACTAGTAGAAGGGAGTTTAAATGAAAACGTTTAACTCTCAGCAACAGAAACACTTTTAGAAATTTGGCTACAGGGTCTGATACTAAAATATGCATAAATGGCAGATGGACAGCAAAATTTGAAGACTCAGAAGTGGTGTAAAACACCTCGAGTAGACTGGAATAATGCAAGAAAACCCTCCTTGGTGAAGAGTATTATCATTGCTGGTATGTTTCCATTTTCCCTAGATCTGCGAGAAGCAGCGTATCAGGTGTAGATCTGTAAACTACTGTCAATTCAGGAGTGTGCTTACTTGAAGATTTGAACAAATTCCTATTTTTTTCTTTCTTGCCCTCTTTCAGTTTCTCAAGTTTACATTTTCAGTCAAAGAAGAGGCGTGAATGAGAAAGGTCATCGCATTAGTTTCTGTGATGGAAAAATTAGCCATGCTATCGATGTATAGAAAGTTTCCTTTTTCTACACTAAAAAATGCAAAACCATAAAGCTGTATATACCTATAACTGAAAGATTGGTAGGATGTGCTGCTGAAGAAATTATACACTCATTTTTCCTTTTAAAGGAAAATAGAGTGAAGAAACCTTCAGCTGGTTTCTTGTGGAATGTACATAGTCTCACATATATACACTCACAGTCATATACATATATATATACACACACTCCTCTAGTCATACATATGGAAGAATTTTTGTTCATGAGCTTCTTACCTGGCAAATTCTTTTTTGAGTGGAGAACATCTCTGCCTTCCTCAAATGTGTCAGACATTCGCAGATTGCTTTATATTTATGTTTCCTCTCATGGAAAATGGTGTTTTCTGTATACTTTTTGCAACATTCTATATGAGTTTTACATTATGAAGTAATGTTTTACTTTCTTAACGTAGACAGTGTTGGAGAAATTCATATGCCAGCCACTCATTCTGCCTGGCATAATGGTGCCAAAGCCACACATTCATTTTATACCGTATGTCCTTTGCAAGACCAGACTCTGTATGTTGATTCCATTTGTAGATGTGCCCTTCACAAACGACAGATGTGCTCATGAAGGCTGTAGCACAGCTTGTTTTAAGAGGCAGCCAGACCTTAATACCTCGTTACCACTTGCAGCAGGAGAATCATGCCCATTCCTATTTCTGAGTCACAGCTTACCCCTGAGAATAAGGTCTGTGAGCGGGTTCCTAAAATACACCTTATCTTTGGCGAAGGGTCCAGTTTTCCTCATATAAGAGGCTGGCAAACTATTTCAAGAAAACAACACAGAGCT